TATATATATATATATATATGTATGTATATGTATATATATATATATATATGTATGTATATGTATATATATATATATGTATATATATATGTATATGTATATATATATGTATGTATATGTATATATATATGTATATGTATATATATATATGTATATGTATATATATATATATGTATATATATATATATATGTATATATATATATATGTATATATATATATATGTATATATATATATGTATGTATATATATATGTATGTATATATATATGTATGTATATATATGTATATATATATATATATATATATATATATATATGTACATATATATACATATATATATACATATATATATATATAATTGGAGGGGTATATAAACTATGTTAAAATTTATAAAAACAAATGCAGTGTATTGAGAGACATAACGATAGATGCATTAAAAAGAACCCCTTATTTTTCTGTCACATCAAGGTGACATATTTCTTTGTCACTTCATAAAAAGAAAAGAGAAAAAGATCCGGTTATTTTAACCGAGTTGAGTTTGGAATCATATGCTGTGAGTTTGAGCATAAAAAAAATTATTTTAGAAAATAATAGACTTTCACATCAGGGTCTAATAATAGACTTTCGATTATGTATGCATAAAAAAAATATTTATTTAATTTCTTTCTAAATCATTCTTGGGATGACTGAATTTTTCACCATGTGTATTATTAGCTAAGCAAAATTATATATTAATTTTTTTTAAAGTCTCAGTTAATATATAGATAGTCCTAGTAATCCTAATCCTGAAGATTTATCATTGAATATATCAGTATCATTAGTTATTTCATTCATATCAATCATTTTAAAATTCTGAACTAATTATATATTACCCCATATAGTTAGCTACCTTTAGCGTCCCACTTTATATACTTTAAAAAATTATATTGACACTCCTATAATTATAAAAGTGAAATAATTAAGTCTATTTACTCTGACGATATCAATTTTATCGATGAAAATATGAAAATAAAATATAATTTTAACATTTGATAGTGGATGGCGGCGATGACGGACGACGACACCATTGGCGTTGGTGGTAGCAGACACCTCCCCCACCTTATCCTCCACCAATAGTTTTACGTTCATAAACTACTCGGCCTCCATTAGCTAAACCAATGGTACCACCCTTGCAATCACCCTCTCCAGCACCGAGTTCAACTCATGGCCCAGGATTACCACCTATAGCATCCACCACCACACCACCATCCCTCTCATCTCCTCGGACCCCTCCAATGCCACCATTGCCCCTGCCCTACCGAGCATCGATAGGAAGCGGATCCTACTCTTCTCCAATGCCACTACGATCCTATCGATTTGGGCTTCCGTTAGCGTGTACCGACTCCGAAAGCATATGTACACCATCGATTTATATAAAATTAATAATTTAAATATAGTGAAATTATGATTTTATTCTTTTTATTTATATACGTGTTGTTACATGTGTTTTTATACGTAAAAAAAGTTAATGACATAAAGAGAATTAAGGTTAAATATTTTACTTTCTATAGGGATTAAATGATACTTTTTATCGTAGTTAATTATAAAGGGTAATATGTGACATTGTTTGTTCATCTACAGTCTTTGTTTAGATAAACAAAGAGGATTTTGATCTGGAGAGGCTTGTACTTTTTGTTCGGCTCTGTAAATGTTGGGTGTTCTTCTACATGCAGAGAATATCAAGCTTGAAAAAGCTGAGAATACATCTCTGCTTGATT